GCTCAAACTTTATGTGAAAAAACTCTAAAAATCATAAAATAAACACATAAAGTTTGAAATAAGATTATATTTTGTACTTTGCTAAAAAGAATCAGTATTTTTTCACTAGTTAACATATGAAATTTAAGCATGTAGATCTCGAAAATCACCTAATTGATTAATTTCGATCATACAACGCTGCCAACCACTGACGATCGTTACCTTTTTCGGGTATATTTAAAGCCTTGTCCATCCGATAATCAGTCCGAAACACAAACCAATAAGGATGCGTAAATTTTTGATCAACTCGGCAAACAAATTCGGAGCGCGGGCAAAAACATGAAAAATAACGGAAAACAGATGCTTAAATCTATCTTGGTATACTAATAAAAAATGTCGGGAAGGCAATTTTATTTATAAGCTTGATCACAACTCTAACCCTAATCCTAAGCTTAAAATCAATCTTTAATTATATAGTTATGTATCACGTGATGGACCAGGCTTTAGACGTTCCCCTTTTTTGTTAGGTTTAGTCGGATCTTCCGGCAGCGGAATTTTAGGAGGCGGCTTGATCGAGATGAGAGATCACAATCACATGATAACTGGAAAATCACTTTTGATAAGTTGCAAACTACATTTTTCATTATATTTACTCAATGTTATCATTCAAAGGTTTCGCCTACAAGTCCTTGTTGTGTGCACCTAGTGCGCATTTCGAACTAAAAAAACAAGTTTTTTCTACACAGCTATTTCGGAGTCGTTTAAGGGTGCAAAATTTTGTTTGCTTTTCGCGTATACCAAAAACATTAACCTTAAATAATAAGAATAATTTCAAGTATCAAATCACAAAAATATTTGATAAACAAACGAGGAGTGCTTCAGAGACGATCGATCGATTATTATCATCATCGCGATCACATCGTTACTTTACCGCGCCTTCTGATTCTTCCTCCTCCGAAAATAATTCTAAAAAGTTATTGGACATTACATTTGACAAGGATAAACCTATACTTACCGAACTACACTACGGCCGAACACGCGTCTACACTGCGCTTCCTCCTGCTTCTACGCATTCACCGACAAGCTCAAAGACCTCGCCTGCTGCATCCTCGTCGCCTCTGTACTGGCAATGGCAACCGCGGACGACAGAAGCCGGCATTCCGGAAGTCCGTGGACCAGTATCAAGCTTTGTGGGAAGCATTAAACAAAATTTGAGTGCCATGTTTCTACCGGTTGGGTAACTAAGTTCGGCATGTTCTCATTCAACTGTGTCTATCACTCTCTCTATGTCTATCCATCTTTCACGTGTTGAAATACGAATATCGCCATCTGACTGCGCGAAAATTCATCATAACTAGTTATCCAGAGTCTGTCCATGAGTGCTACGCAAAATTTCACATTTGGCTCGCATTGGAAACTTTTCTCGGATCATCGGTGAGCTATTTTTGTAGTATAATTGAAATCGAGTTTCTTTTTTCCAGGTTGACAGATATATATACATATGTATATATATATATTTTTTTTTTGTATGTATTCTGTCTAGACAGGAGTTTTGTGCAGTCAAGCGATGTTGTCATCTCTTGGATTGGGTCATGCTGAAGCAGCAGCTGGTGCAGTGGCTATTCAATGGTAAAAAAGAATATATTCTTAATCAATTTGCCTATTTATTATTTAAAAATCATGTCAACGAAAAACAGGGTTCTTAAGGACGGATTCGGTGAAATAGGAAAACTATTTTTCATCAAAGGATTCGCTTATTCATTTGACTCGCATCCCAAAACATGGAAAATGGCATGTAAAAATTTATTTTTCTGTTTTATTCGTTTACATGCATTAATACATTATAAATCTTACAAAGGTGAGTGAAATGTTTGCCATAGCCGGATATTTTCTTCAGTTGTGTACGTGTATCGCGAAGCCTGGATATTTCTTGCCGTTAGCTTCGCTAGGTAATGCATTTGAAAGTATTCAATATAGTATTTTTGGAGCTACGCATATGGCATTTATTAGGAATTTTGCAGTAAGTTTGAAAAAATGGTTTTGTTCTGGGATGATTTTGGGGCATTTGTATGCAAATTTTGCTTTTTAATAACTGTAAAAGGATCCCCTTTTTGACAGCTCTCTGGCAATGTTGGCGACATTGTAGCAAAGGACGATGCGCAAATGTCTCTGGCACATTTATTAGGGTTTGTATTTTTGTGGCAGGTGTTAATGGTTATGTATTATTAATCGATATTAATATCTTGTTTTGGGAAAACGGTAGGATGTTATGTGGTGTTGGCTTGATAACCATCTCACATGATCCACCTTTTCTGTTTTCGTGTTTTGCTTTATTGGCTCCTCTGAATATGGGTGCGACTTTAGCACTTTTGAATGCGGCACAGTTCGAAATACTGAATCAGGCAAAACTATCATTAATCACTCGTCAATATATTGATTGTGGCGAAGTGCCAACAATGGAAGAACTTAAAGACAGAGAAATTGGGTTTGGGGAATGGATAAGACCGAAAAAGAGTCCTATTGGTGTGAAGATAAGGATGGGTGTTCCGGCTTCTGATGCCTTTCCTACAAGTGAACACATTCGAAGGGCATTGGCCGTTTTAGCGGTAACAGTTTGTCTTTTCACTCATAAAAAATTTTCAAGTTATTAATTTTCTCTATTAATTAACTCGATATTTAAAATGTGAATCCTAGAATGAAAATTACCTATTTAGTTACAACCCGTATAATAACACAATTGATACGCTTTATCATTCAGACGCTGAATCTAATGATGTTATCAAATCTATACTTCATTCATTGAAGTTTCACGACCTAATCACCATAAATCGACTTCCTGGTTCACGGGATATTAGTGATGAAATAATAACTAAAACGATGCAAGAAAGTCACACATGGACGAATCAAAAGTTTGGAAATTTCGTGGCTGAATTAGACGATAAGGATTGGCAGAGTGATGTGGTATTTTGGAAAGACAAGTAAGCTTTTAATTAATTATAAATTTTATTTTGTCAAAATGCTAATAGTTGTTAATTCTGTTTTTAATAGGGGATTCAGGGTAAGATGGGAACGTATAAAAGCTACTGAGAAGTTATAAAAAACAGCTTATGTATGTAGTAGAGATAGGCGTTCATTTTTGTAAAAAATTTGCAAACTAATGAAGACTGGAGATTAATTCGTTAATATACACAACACGCATACACTAAAGTCATTCGCTCCAAGTTATTTAACGTTAACAATCAAATACAAAAGAAACTGAATAAAACATCTATTGATTAGCCTTGATTTTTCAATGCACGCAAAAAATGCAAATACAGAATAAGACGTGTAATAGATTTTCTGTTGAGTAAAAAATAAATAGCACTAATATCGTATCATTCTTGTTTTTTAGGATCACTATACAGAAAAACTTTAGTATCATCTGGAATGATGTACTGAGATTTAAAGGCATTAAACGTATTCATGAAAGTCCGCAATATCGGTTCACCAGATTCTCGCACGTATTTCGGGTACCGTGCTTGAAATGCTGTGGTCGCTTCCTTCAGATAATAATGAGGAATCGCGGGGAATAAGTGATGTACTTGATGAGTCCCGATCGAATGAGTTACGTCATGCAAAAAACCATAATCACGATCGACTGAGGAAAGATTTCCGAGAACATACGACCATTTGTCATCCGAGAACCAGGGTAAGTTGAGATTTTCTTCTACACCATGGTGATGAAGAAAAGTTGTGATTACTAACCAACTTGCGAAAACAATCCACGGGAGAAAATAATATCGTATAATATTCCAAGCACCGTAGATTGTTGACGCACGATATAAAAAACCCAGTCCAAGGATTACACAAATAATCGAGGTGAAAGCTCCAGCACGATTGTTTTTGAAAAGTAGATGAAAAGGATTCACATGAGATGTCGCTCTCGTTCCATAGCCTCCAATCAAATAAATCAACCAACCGATTCCAAACGCGAAATAAGGAACCAATTTCGTCTCTTGATTCTCCCCTGTCATTTTAAGTGCTTCCGATTTACGTAACGGATAATAAACTTCATCTTTATCAATATTTCCCGTGTTCTTGTGATGATGTCGATGACTTAATTTCCATGTGGTATACGGAACGAGGATTAAGCTATGAAGGAATGTACCGACTGTATCATTGATCCATGGATATTTGCTAAAACTTCCATGTCCACAATCATGACCTAAAACAAAAACCGCCCAAAACATTGTACCCTGGAAAAAGGCATAAACAAGAAGAACCAAGTTTTTAACTGGGGATGGGATAAATGCTAAATTATCTAACAAGTAATAGGCGGCGAATATTAACGATATCACGCAAAGATCCCATGCCACATATTTAAATGATTGAAAGAGTGAAGGGGCAAAGAATTTACTTGGGATATTTTTTTTGATTTCAAGAATCGAAGGAACAGTTTCTTTTGTTGGAATTGCATTTAATTTATGTTGAATTGATACGAGATCATCGTTTAAAAACTCTTCTATATTCGATGTCGTATTCAAAATAATGGACTGCGTTGCGAAAGGTTCAAGTGGTGGCATAATTTATTTTCTTTTCACTTTTAAATAATCCTGTCTTTCTTGTCGGATCTGATGAGAAAAGCGTTTTTTATTCTGAAACCACGAAAAAAATTAACTTTTTGAAGAAAAATCAAGAGAAAAAGGAACAACAGGAAAAATATCCAAGTCGCGCATAAATAAATTCCTTCTATAGGTTGTTAATCGATTAATTTAATGCCCCACAAAACAAACGGCAGACAATACATTAACCATATCTACGCTTATATTATCGACAACACAATATTCATCGAGAAAAAAATTTTTAACATTACAATATTTAAAATTTGATCACAACAGTATTACTTCTACCACATGCTGCATGTGTTAATTGGTTAACTGTCAATGGTATAAAAGTCACATATGAGATCCGCATAGTGGTTACTTTGTTTGTTTGCATATAATGTATAAACAAACAATATCGATATTTTTGGTAAATATTATTTATGATAAATATTATCTCGGATATAATAGTACCAAATATAGATAATGTTGTGTCTAGTAAAGAAAATATATATAGGAGATGAATATGTGTGGCAGCTATATCAATTAATATTATCATATTATATTTCATTATGCGAGCACTATAAATATGTGATTTTCAACTGATATATGGTTTGCCCACTTTCGTCTTTTAGTTGTTTGGTATATTTCGGCAAAAGATCTTCAAACTTCTGAAAAGAATCATTGACAATATCGTCAAGAAACGGCTTGATATCGTCTAATGTCCATCGAGATCGAAATGTAAAGAGTTCCCGGAAACGTTTTTCAGGATCGGTCGGTAACTCAGAAGCAGCAAATAATTCTATATATTCGCATTCCTTTTGGTGATTGTATTCTTTGATCGCGTTTCCCTAAAATATAACCATAGAATTCGTTAATAGAAAGAAGACAACTTTTGTGTTTAATAAAAACAGGAATAAGAGACCTTTAGGAGGTCAAATGATAAAACCGATTCCCACTGATCAGGTATCTTTATTACCCAATTAGCTACAAAATCGGAATATATCCATGGCTAATATAAAGGTGAAAAATGTAGTTTTTTTTAGCCATATTTCGAATTGAATTTCCATGGAAATATTCTATTCATTAATATTATTACTTTTCCTTCTGTTCTCAACAAGTGCAATCCAATAAAACTGCATATTTTCTCCTTTGATAATTTTGCAACTGGATCTATTATAAAGTTATTATGTTGTTATAATTATTAGTATATCTAATCATTGACATAATTGCTACTTACCAAAACGATCGCTATAGTCAATTACGTCCGCAAAGCAAGTCAAACAATGCTTAGTGATAAAAAAAGGAATACCATCGTCAGCAAGTGCTTCGGCACATTTTGAAAAATGCATGTTTTCCAGTGACATGTTCTCGATATTCGCGGCTGAGAGAATAAGATCTAATACGTCGTAAAGATATTGGGTTTCCACAAATCTCCAGTAGCCTTTTGTCACAATTAATTTCTGTTTAAATACCAGTAAACTTTATTCACGCGTATATCGATATTTACATACCATCAATTTCTAAAGCGTAATGTTTTTGCAGTGCACATATTATTTCTCCTTCGCTAGCTTGTAGCAAATCATCAAGTTCTTCCCAAGAATAGAATTTTTCCTAAGCAGAAAAAAATATATTATATTCTATCTTAATCAACAATAAATAATAAACTACATTGTTCAACTTACTCCCTTATACCTCTTTTCCTCTTCAGGACCTTTATATGGAGTTGTTCCAAGCAAATCGTTCAATTTTTCAAGATTCGGTATACATAGAATTAACTCGTACACTGAATGCAGAATATCTTTTATTTCGAGTTCGTGCACTTGTTCTAAGCTAATAGTAGAGTTCAATAGTAATAAAGAGTTGGAATGAAGTCGTTTTCGAACTCGATATGTTTTATTTCTTGTGCAAAGATATGCGTAGTCTTTGGGTGAACCCTTTATGTAAGGACTTTATAAACGTGTTTTAATGGAGTTTAATGCCGCGTAATTTACGAAAAACAACATAGCTAGCTTACTAGGCGTTTTCATTCTCGTTTGGATTTTCATAAAGCTCAAAAATTTCTGGTGGTAGCTCTAGAAATTTATGTGAGTTTGGCGAGTAATTAGGACCAGCGACGATTCTTGTGTCCATTATGAGAAAGTTATACGCACGTCTAATACACGTCGCGTTGTGTCTTAATGTTAAGAATTATTAATCACATGATTTTCAGTCACATGCAATCTGACGAATAGATAATCGGGGGCAAAGCGTAATTTTTCTGTTAGGACTTTTTAATCAGCATCAAGAGTTAGATGTGATTTAGAAGAAGTACCTGTTTCACAAATACGCCATTGGAAAATTGCTGCACAAAACTGTAAAAAAATCCTTTCGGATAATTTTTGTTATTTACCATAGATCAGTTAATTTACAATTAATAATTTAAATTGATTGGACATAATGATCTTCAAACGATTGGCCCAAAGACGGATTACAGAATGCCAAAGGTTTCGGACCCGTCTAAGAAAAGATAATCTCATTAATCCAATAGACTCAAAATTATTTGTAAAAGCTTAGAAGAAGAATATGAATTAAGTACACAATTGACAAATTCCATTAGTTTAGCAAAGCAGACATGACAAGAATATATTACTATAACAATAATCCAGCTTCTTTATTTAGACCAATCCCAATTATCAAACAAGAAACAATTGCACAGGAAGCTGAAACAAATATAATCAAAACAGGAATCATTTGTGAGGTAAATACTTTTCTTGAACAGATGAGTAAAAGTATTTGAAAAAAATATTATGGAATAAAATCTAAAAAATGTAGAAGAAATAAGCTCTTTATTCAATTTAGACAATGAACTTGATTGTGAAAGTCCAGCAGAAAAGTAAAATTTAATTATATTAGTGTTTTTAAATTGCATCAAATAAAAAATTTATTTATATGAAAAAATTACTTTAAATTTTAGAAATATCTAGAATTTTCTGATAAATATTTTTATAATATAAAGTATATTATTATATAATAAACTTTAATTGAATATTGTTATAATATGAATATTTAGTTCTTATTTTATTGATTAATTCATATCATAAATTTAATTGGATGATATTTTATT